AAAAAAACTACATATATAAAAGGTTCACTGGTAAAGACAGAGACTAAAAGCAGAGTTAAGGAGCCTTTACAATGGTTTCTCGTATGAAAAAGTCGTGGGAACAACACATGTGGGCTGTTTGTTTTTTGGGTGTCTGTGAATCATTATAAAATTTTAAAATATTTGATCTATACCTCTACTAATAAAAAAAGTATTACACTGTTTTAAAATTGGATTGGATTTAAATACATTTAGTCCTCACACCATGAGAACTGCCTGCACGTAATGCAGCTTTTTTTCCTCACCTACTACAAATCATTCAGATCATGCAGTGTGTCTGTATGGTTAAGGCTGCACTTTACCGTTTGACTAACTATTTCAGGCTGTTTGTTAATGTGTAAATGTAACACTAGGCTGACGAAATACATCTGCCAATTTAACCATCATAGTTAAGATGTAGTTAAGATCTCAAATGTCCAACATTCATCCATATTTAGTCCTCAGAGCGAGTCGATTTAGGCTCAGATGGCCGTTGGGCTTGCAGTACATTGGTAAAAGTCCTGAAGAAGATGATGAAGAAATCGTTGCAAAACAGCCTCCTCAGCTTACAGATGCACATTTGGACCATTTTCTTAATCTCAACAACACTTTAATTGGACCTGACTGCTAATTTTGAACTGACACCATGTTTACATGAAAGCAGTGCATTACTTTGCAATGTGAGGCTGTTCTTAAAGCACACTTAGATTGATATGAAGATAATATGATCACCTTGCTTGGTATATAGCCTGAAAATGTAGGCTGTTATCTTCATATTACCCCTCTTAATGAGGACCAGATTTGATCTGAATATTAGATTTAAAGGGTGATATAAACTAATTGCTGTTATTATTACGGCTATTGTTGTGTTTACATGTTTTTATATTGTCTCTATGTGGCAATAAAAGGTTTTAGTAACAAAGTAACAAGAAAAACCTAAAGGCTAAATTACAGAACAGGTTTTAATTTACCAGGATTAACAAAGAAGAAGATGAAAGGTTTAAGAACAAATCTTCTTCAGAAGAATGAATCTGGTTTTTTAATCAGCACCATGAGCACAAACATTCTGCTTTTTAAGGTTTCTTTTTTTTTTTTTTTTTTGTAGAGAAACCAAGTTCCCCAGAATCAAACCCCCACATTTTGGTTGCACTTTGATGGTTATGCAAATGTTCAGCTGCAGCAGCCAGAGCACACATAAACACACACACACACACACACACACACACAGCAGTATACCTGTTTGGCACTCGCTCCTGCATTCCT